TATGTTCAAGTTCACCATCGAAAGCAATAGATTGTTCACCCCTTGCCGATGCAATGCTATATCGGTGCTCACTTGGTATGTTGCAATACATATCTTTCAACACGTCATGATATTTCATTTGCACTAACAAACCATCCCAATTCATGCATGTCCCAAGCATGAAACATTAAAAGGCAGTTAAAAAGGGTATTCGATATCTCAAATTGTTAGTGACCTCTCGCCTACCAATTCTTCGTCATTTGGCATTAACTTTTATGTGTATGCCAATGTTGACCACTAGCGATCCAAATGATAGAATCTTTACTCTAATGCGGTTTAGGCAATCCTCGCCTCTTAAGCTAGCTTAAGGATTGCGTTAGGCACAAGATCCATTTCTTTAACATGATATCAGAGCAAGACGCATCTTAATTCTCATTTCTAATGTTGGCCCCCATATTAAATTGTTGATGTACCAAATATTCAGCCCTAGGCGTAAGAGGGTGTGAAGAGTAGAGTTCCACATCGACCCTTCACGGGATGGGTGGTTTCTTTAATATAGTTTTGGCAATCCTCATCTCTTGAACGAGATTTTGCGAGTTCCCTCCGTTTCTTTAACGATTGTAATCACTCTCCTTTATTAGTTATATTCTCTTCATTGTCTCCTTCTCTTGTTTTGTGAGTTCTGTTGCACTTGAGCTGTCAAAGGTTTTTCGAAAACAGTCTCTCTACCTCCACGAGATAGTGGTAAGGGCTGCATACATTCTTCCCCCAAGACCTCACTTGTGGGATTTCACTGGGCTATTGTTGTTGTTGTTATCATTGAATAAAATTCATTTAAGTTTTGCTTATATTCTCAAGCTCTTTTAGGCTCTATGAAGTACTTATTACTCCTAAAAGAGTTGCTTATATTCTTTGAGGTATCTCGTTATTTTCCCAATTGTATTAGGTTGACATCCTGCATTTCACATGCAAAAAGGTAAACTCTCTTATGCATATCACTAAAATCAACACCAAAAACTGCACCGCTAGAAAGCTCATAGTTATCAAAACGTGTCAACCTACAAACTATTTGTCTTCCTAACAACTCAACACGTATCAAAATGGATCTAGTCTATGAAAATTATACATAACTAAATCAGAAAAAGAACCTGTTATTGCTGGAGAATTCATGGAGTCTGCCACGATTGGAGATGATAACAACCGCAACATCGACATCACAGAGAACGGAAATTTCTTTAGCTTTCTTCAATAGACCTTTCCTCCGTTTACAAAAAGCAACTTGCCTACAGTTTTTGTCTTGAATTCGCTTAATTTCTACCTTCCTTCGCCCCATTTTTTCGCCGGAGAAAAGCCCTAATCCACAGATTTCAGATGTCTAGAAGTTTCTAGTATGATCGCCGTTACTCCTACCCAGCTCTATTTTGTGTGTGTGTGTGTGTGTTTTGTTACAGAGTTACCATTTTTGTTGTTTTACTCTCTTCACTCCAATTAAATCTCTTGGGTCCCTTTTCGTCCTCCATCCTTTTTCCTCTTCTCTCTGTTTTTTAAATGCAAGAGGGAAAATTAATATAACGTTTAGATAAATTATATTATATAATTTTACATATTAACAATTTAAATAATATATATATATATATATATATATATATATATATACAAAAAATTGATTCGTTAAATAAATTAGGACTTTTCTTTATTACGTAAGGATGGATAATAAATAGAGGGGGCAAAACTGGGCTATGACGCCGCCCCTCAAATCGGTGGTCGATAAACAAATGATCTAAAATATATTGCAAGGTAAAGTTTATATTTTATATATTATTATTATTATATATAACACAAATTATATCGTTTAATTTCAATAGACATGTTAATGAGCTCGTTTGAATTGGTTTAAAAAAATAGCTTTTAAATCAAAAATAAGAAGTCAAACTGAAATGACTTTTAAGTCAAAAAATAAAAAGAGGGGATATCTACTTTTGATTTCTGACTTATTTTAAATCAATTTTTACTTTGTCAAACACTTCATAATTTATTTTAAGTTATTTTTTATATTTGTCACACTTTTAGAAGTCATAAACTGACTTAAAAATATGTTTAACCAACTTTTAAACCAATCCAACACCCTCATGTCTTATGATACATAATAATCTATTTGTATCTTAAAATTTGTGTCGAAGAAGACAAAAACTTTTAAAATTTATATTTTATGAATTTAGATAGAGTATATATAACTTATGTCAGATTAAAAAAAACATCTAATTAGATCATTTTTATTAAATAAATAATAATATAAAATTAAATATTACTCCAAAATAAATGCAATTCGTCCACAAACTTGGAGGATGACTACTGTCCACTGTAGTTGGGTTACATGCTTCCAATTTATTTGCCATGTGAGATGATTTTTTTCCTTGTTTATTTAGCAATTAAAAGTATTTTTTTAATATTATCCTGTAATTAAAACTTTTACTAGAGTAATACTTTTCTATCTCAATTTATATGAAGTTTGTAGTTCAAAAGAATAACTATTTATGATTGTTATAAGATAAAATCATAAATAATTTCTTATAGAGAGTATCCTAAAATACAACAAAGAGAATAATAAACTCTAATTTTTTTTAAAAAATTTACTCATTAAACACCTCTTCTTGTTTTATTTACGTACTATCAACATATTCTTAACTTATTGTGATTATCTCTTCGAAATGAAAATTTGATTTTGAATTTGAATTAGTTCAGATCTCAAACGTATTTATATTGTCATTTTCATGTTGAGGGATGCATGCTTGCGACTGAATTGTATACGTATTCATGTAGAGGGATGCATGCATGATTGTTCAAGCTCGCATAGAACAATTGAATGTTCGTGGAGAAAATGTCATCTTACAAACAATTATATTTAGGCAACAAATTATTCAAAATGGAAAAAAGATATATCCTTCGTTAATAAGTTAGTCAATTATGTAAAAGATTTGATTATTTTTTTTAACCTCAGGATAATTCATATACGTTGTAATTTTTGTCACAATTTTTATCCTTAAAGTGAGCATTTTATGTATATTGGGTAAATCTCCTATACTATGAATAGCTTGCAAACCATACATCCCTCGCAATTTTCTTTCATTTGCTTTGTAATTGAATTATGAATATTATACTCGTACGAAACTTTTGTTCTGGATCACAAATCTTCATAAATTAATTTAAATGCAGATGTTTACGACTTAATATCTTAAAATGTCACTAAATTATAGAAATTTATTTAACAAAATCTATATAGAAAAAAATATTATTAGGATTAGGAAGATGATTCATAACCACATAATTTTTTATGATTTATTTTAAGCCAAAAAAATTTAAAATATTTTTGTCATTTTTCACCTCAAACAAATTCATATAAATTGAGACGAAAAATTATTACTTTTGCATAAGGACAAAATAAATGTAACGGATGAAGTACTTTCAATTGTCTTTTTTTTCTCTTTCTTTGGACCAAATTCCATCCAATAAGCTGTAATTCAGGGAAGTACTGTCTTTTTTTCTGCAGCAGTCCCAATTTCCAGTACAAAACTAACGTTAGCCAATCACATACTTATCTTTAAGTTTGTGAACAGATTTATCCATTTTGGGTGATGTTTAACTTTTAGTGTTATTTTTATTTTAATAAAAAAATGTGGGTTGGGATATTCATGGTTATGGTTTATTTTTTGCATATAAGTTTAGAATATATTTAGTTTAAATTATGTAGTGTCTAAAATATAAAACATATTATCTTCCGCAACTTATATTTAAAGATAAAAAATTAAGATATAACTTGTAAGTTCATAATTAACATAAATTTTATAGAAATCAAACGACTCAACTTAAATTATATAATAATATCAAAATATACGAGAAAGATACACCTAGATACATAGAATATATAATAATATGAAGATATAGATTTTTATTTTTAAAATACTATGTATCTTATCACTTATTAATATTTTTTTCTACTATATGAGAAATATAGTACATAGAGAGTGGTTAACGAGATAGAAGGAAGGAAGGCAGGCGAGAATTGTTATATGTCTCAAATATATGCGAATTCACTTGGTTTAAATTTTAAAGTATATTTAGAACAAATTAAATGTAATATTGACCTCATATTTTTCGAAATAGATGTGATCTAGATGTATCTGAACACCTTAAAATCCGATAAGACGTATAATATTACAAATTAGAGTGTATTTTGTATAAATTTTCCAAAAAAATAAATAAATTCTGTCAAGATATTTTTTATTACTTCCCTCTCATACCCCAGTGTTAGCTTAAATAGTCATTTTGTTATCTAATTTCCCCTTGCCTTGCACCAAATTATTACAATTACACTCGATTTGGATCATTGTTATCCATTGTATTGTATTGTATCGTTATTATACCTACAGCGTTTGTTTTGATTGTTACTTAAAATGTATTGTATTATATTGTTAAATTTCGTTGTTACGTAACAATGAAAACTCCTATTTTATGGAACAACCGATTTGATGTGTTCCCATTGTTACTTAATTTCTTTTTCCAATTATATTTTTACATAATATTTCAAAATACTATTTTACCCTTTACTTTATATTATTTAATTCTAGTCAAACCTCCTACTCTAAACTAATTAAAGATATTTTAGTAAATTTATAAATTACAATACAGTACGATACAATTAAACCAAACAATTAAAATGTTATTAAACAATAACAAACAATACAGTCTAGCCAAACATCATATCTATCATATAACACAATACAATATAGTATAATACAATACAATACATTATGAAATAATAAGTAACAATGATCCAAACAAAGTGTTAGTAACTGATATAAGTCAAAAAAAAAAAAAAAAAATGGAGGACGGAAAGGGACCCAAGAGATTTAATTGGAGTGCAGACTGCAGAGAGTAAAACAACAAAAATGGTAACTGTAACAACACACACACAAACAAAAAGAAAGAGCTGGATGGGAGCAACGGCGATGATACTAAAACTTCTAGAGATATGAAATTTGTGGATTAGGGCTTTTCATCAGCGAAAAAATGGGGCGAAGAAAGGTAGAAATTAAGCGAATCCAAGATAAAAACTGCAGGCAAGTTGCTTTTTGTAAACGGAGAAAAGGTTTATTGAAGAAAGCAAAAGAAATTTCCATTCTCTGCGATGTCGATGTTGCGGTTGTTATCATCTCGAATCGTGGCAGGCTCCATGAATTCTCCAGCAATAACAGGTTTTGATTTATTAATAATCAGATATGCATATCAATTTTTCCTCGATTATCGTGTTGATCTGTTAGGAAGACGAATAGTTTGTAAATTGACACGTTTATTAACTGTGTGATTTCTGGCGGTGCAGTTTTTGGTAGTGATCTGCATAAGAGAGTTTACATTTTTTGCATGTGATATGATGTCAACATAATACTATTTGGAAAAACAATGAGCTTTACCTCAATTTGAATGAATTTTATTCAATCATAACTATCACTTAAAAACAAGAGAGTGTAACTAACTCACCTAAATTTAGTGCTTGTTTGGATTTTAAGCACTTTTTGTAGTTTAAGAGGTGTTTGGAAAGTTTATAATGAGTCAAAAGTAAAAAGTAGTTTACTTGTGATTTTTAACTTTTGACTTATAAATTACTTTTTATAAGCTCATCCAAATAGGCTCTAAAGGAACTAACCTAATCTAATCTTATAGATAATTAAGCTTAGATTAAAAAATATTCAAATAATCAAACTAAATCTAATCCTAATAACAATGGTTAAAGGAATGGATTTTGGGCTACCTAACTCAACCTCCAAAGTTAGATCCAAAGTTAGCTCAGGATTGTCTAAACCATATTAAAGACACCACCCATCTCTTAAAGTTAAGGGCTGATGTGGAACTATCCACCCTCTTACGTTCAAGGTTGAACATCTGGCTGGTGCATGGACAATTTAATATGGTGGGCCAATATCAAAAATGAGAATTGAGATGCATCTTGCTCAAGTGCATATTGCCTAAGTCACATTAAAGTGGAGATTCTATCAATTGGATCGTCCGCGTAGTCAACATTGGCATACATATATAAGTTCATATCAGGATGATGAAGCATTAGTAGACAAGAGGTTGTTGTCGATTTGAGTTTCGAACAACACTTTTTATCGCCTTTCAATGACATGGATGAATTGGGATAACTTGTTTAATGCAAATGAAATATCAAAACGTGTTGAAAGATATGTATTGCAACATATCAAGTGTGCACGATTTAACATTGCATCCTAAGGGTGAACCACCAATTGCTTCGATGTTGAACTTGATCATATGGATGTGGTGATCCCTTTGCACTCAACCATAACTAGTTCTAATAGTATCTCAAGGATGTATAACTATGATAAGACAATCCTATTTGGAACAAACTTCACTTCAATCTCCAAAAGTAGTTAAGTTTGCCACAATTGATGAGAGACTTTGGTTGAGGTGAAGTAGTTTGATGGTATAAATAGAATTCACACTAATCATTTAATAAAAATAGAAGAGTTAATGATCGAAAACACACAAGAATTATCAACTTTTTACAACTATAAGGTGTTCCTTTTTACTATCTGAACTATCACCATTATGCATTAAAACACACTTTAACTACCAGATCTTCCCTTTCCCTATCTAAACTATCATCATCAACAAATAGTTGAGGTGTGTTTTAAGACAAATGATGATAGTTCAAGTAGGAAAAAGGAGCAACTGATAGTTAGGGTGTGAAACTCAAGAAAAAGTGATAGTTTAGATGTGGCTTTGACCATTATCTCAAAACAATAAGATAACATTCCAATGGATATTTACCAAAAAGAAAGATCTTTTACCTCAATTGAATGTTTGTGGTAATAAGAGTAATTGATCGATAGGCTTAGCCTATGAGAATATAAGCAAAAGTTGAATGAATTTTATTCAATGATATCTTTCACCTAAATATCAAAAGAGTGCAACTAACTCTCCTAAACTTAAGGAACTAACATAACCTAATCTTTATAAGATGAGATTGGATAAATAATTCAAATAATGAAATAATCTAAATCTAATCATAACATTTGAGTACAACAACAACATCAACAACAACATACCCAGTGAAATCCCACTAGGTGGGGTCTGGGGAGGGTAGAGTGTACGCAGACCTTGCCACTACCTCTGGAGGTAGAGAGGCTGTTTCCGAAAGACCCTTAGCTCAAGTACATCAAATCCAAGTAAAAGGAGATGAAAACAGTGTATAAAACATAACATCCAATAAGAAAGACAATATATAATCAACAAAGGAGACAATAACATCAATAAAATAATGTAAGAAGTGAAACGCAGAAAACAACATAAGGCTATAGGTATCACAAACAAGAACTGCAAGTGCAAGGCTAGGACTACTACAAACGCTAACCCTACTAGCCTTCGACCTTAATACGCGACCTCCACTCCTTCATATCTAGAGTCATGTCTTCGGTAATGTGAAGCTGAGCCAAGTCCTATCTAATCACCTCTCCCTAATACTTCTTAGGCCTACCTCTACCCCTCCGCGTACCCTCTACAACCAGCCCCTCACACCTCCTCACTGGGGCGTCTGCGCACCGTCTCTTTACATGTCCAAACCATCTCAGTCTCGCTTCCCTCAGCTTGTCCACCATAGAGGCCACTCCCACCTTCTCCCGGATAACCTCATTCCTAATCTTATCGCTCCTAGTGTGCCCACATATCCATCTCAACATCCTCATCTCCGCAACATGCATTTTTTGAACATGTGAGTTCTTGACTGGCCAACACTTCGCTCCATACAACAAGGCCGGTCTAACTACCACTCTATAGAACTTACCTTTAAGTCTAGGTGGAATTTTCTTATCACACAAGACTCCAGAGGCAAGCCTCCATTTCATCCAAGCAACCCCAATGCGATGTGTGACATCATCGTCGATGTCGCCACTTCCTTGGATTACAGACCCAAGATACTTAAAACTTTCTTTCTTAGGAATGATCTGTGTGGCAAGTCTCACTTCCACATCTGCCTCATCCAACGCATCACTGAATTTGCACACCAAATATTCTGTTTTGGTCCTACTTAACATGAACCCTTTGGACTCCAGCGTTTGTCTCCACACCTCCAACCTCGCATTAACTCTGTTCCGCGTCTCATCAATCAGTACTATGTCATCCGCAAATAACATACACCATGAGACCTTCTCCTGAATAGACCGCGTCAACTCATCCATCACCAAAGCAAATAGAAAAGGGCTAAGGACTGATCCTTGGTGCAGCCCCATCTCAACTGGGAAATGTTCTGAGTCACCTCCAACCGTTCTAACCCGAGTCTTGGCTCCACTTGATAAACACGTGTTTATCCTAATAAAGTCAATCAACCAAGAGAATCATAATAGAACCTAAAGATGTAGAATGGAAGGAATCACCGTCATAAAAGTACACACTTAAGTTTAATTCGAGGATAAATAGTTTCTTACCTCTGGATTAATGGGTTTCTCAATCGTCAAAATCTAATTATCTCCTCCCAAAAATGAGTCTCGCTCTCACACACGCAAACACATATATAAAGCCTATTATTCTAAGAAAAGATGAAACTTTCCAAACTAAAATTCTCCTCTATTTGCTAGACTAGCACACCCCTTGCTTGATAAACTTTTCACAACGTGTGGGGCTGAGTTGATTATTTTAGGAAGCTTTAATTTATGTGGCTTAATGCATGCGTTAGTTCAAGCCACTTACAACACTTTGCCAGCATGCCAACATGTCGCACTTGCTCAATAAATTTCTCGGCGCGTCAAAGTTAGATTGTTAATTTTATTCGAGTTTTGTGCCTCATATTCCTACGTTAGTTTTTCAAGTACCTCTTAGGTGCTTCGACAACATCACAAAGGGGCACAACCAAAGCCACAATGCAATGTACTAGACTTGAGTTTCAAAGGCCATGGATCCCCCAACCCCCAACCCAATCTTCAGTTGAGTCATTGAGATCGCAAAATTATTCAATATGGCTCTTTAAGCATCTTTTAACCATATCTTGAAGTCACTTCAACTTGCAACAATCCGTGAATACTTTTGATTTTAGCATGGGTCAACATTCTTCTCGACTATTCTTGACGTTCTAAAATCGTATCACTTTTTTACTCATGAAATGGATTCGTCCTCGACCTCAACATATCTACATCAAAAGAAAAAACCAAAATATTAGGCAAATCATAATGAAGGCCACACCAAATTCCCTTGGTTAAAATAACACAAAATAATACATATAAACCTCTTTTTACACTTGAATTTAGATGATTACCATCAAATATTGAGATATAACCATTAACTAAGATAATAAATTCATCAACATACGACATAAGAATATAGTACATTACTTCTACAAATACCTTAATTGCAGTGCTATCAAAGGCGCGCGTAAGACCCGATGCGAGGCGCAAAACGTGTTGATCACTTTGTCTCGCCTAATGTGTGATTTAGTATCGTCACTAAGGTTCTAAGACATACTTTTCCATTACAATGAGCCTCTTCTGAAGAGACGACAATTGATATTTCACTTTAACGTAAATTTTTATCCAATTTCTTTTTTCATATATTTGTCATTCATGCTTATAATTATTAGTTTTGTACTAAACATATGTAGTTGTTTGATTAAATGCTAAACTGCACCGATTCTTAGTGTCGCACCCGTGTCGACACGACGTGCATGCGGGTGTGGAATTCGTACCAAGTGTGGTCAATAGATTTTGGGTACTTTGACCAAAGTCGATAGAGAAATTAGAGACATATAATGTCTTCTGAATATTTAAAAAAAGAAGAGAAAATGGTCAAATACCCCTCCAATCTATATTCGGATTTTCAACTACACACTTATACTTTACGGGGGTCCTATTACCCCCCCCCCCCCCCCTAAACTATTTTAAAATGGATTAAATACCCCCTTAAAACGTGATAACCAGTAATCTGCCTTGTGGTGAGGCACACACGCTTGACACGTGTGTTTCACCAATTAAACTTTTGAAAAAAGTTTTTTCTCCTTCTTCTTCATCCTTTCTTCTTCAATCTTTTTGCAGCCCTAACTTTTTTTTGTGAAAGCTTGATTTGGGGAAAATATTAGGGGATACATTGTGGGTCTTCTTTTATTTTTTTATCTTCCTCACAAGGTGAATTCGTTGGGCCTCCATCCTTTTCACCATTGTCATATGAGAAATCATTGTTACCACCTCCACCTCCATCTTTATCACTTCCCTAATTTACATCGAAATCCAACACCTTAGCACATCTTTATCATCTTCATTTATAATATCTCCAAGTTGTTCATGATTTCCAACCCCATTAGTTTCATCATCTCCACCATCCAATGATTTTTTTCCTCCTCTAATTCTTTCTACTTATTTAGGTAGATTGATTTTGCAAGAGTATTACATGAGTTCAAAAATTTGTTTGGAATTAACAATAAAGAATTCGGTAAAAATGGGGTGGCAGCAACGACTATGGTGGTGGCAACACCTATTTAGAGGTGGTGAATGATGGAGAGATTTGTTTTATATTGCTATGGAGAAGAAAGAAAATAAATTAGAAAAATAAATATTTATACATATATTTATTAAAAAAAGATATTAAAAATAAAATTTTAGTAATAGTTTTTTATGTTCACTCTCTCAAAGAGAGTGAAATACACTCACATTGCCAACTAAGCATTTAGGGAGGTAATTATTACAGTTATAAACAGTTCATGTGGGTGATAGGACTCTCATAAAGTTAAAATGTGTAGTTGGAAATCTGGATATAGATTAGGGAGGCTTTTGACCATTTTCTCTAAAAAAAACAAAAAAAAAAACTAGGGGTGGTAAATCATAATTTAGGGATATGTTCTTCTTATCCTTAAAAAGACATTTGTATTAAAAAGTTCGCGACCAGAAGGTGATTTTAAAGATATTTACAAGTCAAATGTCACTGCGTAATTGTAATGAACTCAAGAAGTCTATCATGACCTCTATATCATTTGCAATGACCATGTTACACCAAAAAACAAGGACATGCATATGTACTTAATAATTACATATTCAAACTTGCTCTCAAATATTTGTGCATTGCTTTCCTTCTTATTAGTCCACCACAATTTAGGCATATGCTTAGTTTTATTTTTAGCCGAATCCCAACACTTGGATCCGTACCCCCAAATCTTAAAATTTAGATCATAGAGGATCAAACCTCTAGATCCACACCCGTATCAAACACCTGAATTCTTATAAGAATATCGTAAAAAAGAATTCTTCTCATGGGTTAATTTGAGCTACATATACAAATAGTGCCAAGCTGTTGGATACAAAGTTAATCTCATATGAATGAATAAATGAGAGCTTACACTCAAATCAAATATCAACATTGGGTCTCCGCTATCCGGAAAATGCAGATTGAAGTAAAAGATCACAAAATGCAACACAAACAAGGGCGAACCAAGTGCTTGCACGAAGGGAGAAACTAACTGAATCTGATTTGAGACAGGTATTGAAAGTGGAAGAAAGATTTGAGACCCTACAAGCTGCAACGGCTTTTTGGCCGTTGCGCGATCATGTAGTTCAGCTTTTAGGAAACCTAGTTTTGAATCCTCCCCCGCCACCTATATCTTACTAATTAAAAGAGGGCTTCCCTTTTGTTATTTGTTCATCAAGAAGGTATTTTGGATGGTTTAGTGCCTAATGCCCAATGAAAATGAACACCATAAAATATGTTTGTTTTCTGGTGCACTCTTAAGTTTAAACCTATACAACATGATCTGCTCCCTGTGATATTTTCCTTGTACTTACCCACCAACAACTAACAAGCATATCTGATAATATTTTTTCCAGTCTGTCAGGGATGCTTCAACGATATGAAAGTCATGTTGATGCCGAAAAAGAGATCAATGCAGAAATCCAGGTCGCAGAGGTATTTGATTAGTTGACAGCTGTCAACTTATATTCTGATGAATTAGAATCCTTTCTTGATGCATGAAATAAGTGCATTGTTTGTCCTTATGTTCAAGTTCTCAGTTAATTTGGTTACCTCCGTCTAATGTTAAGTAACTTTGAACTTGCATCCTTGAAAAAAAGGGGAGCTATTCCGGAACTGATCAATATCTAGACGGAACTATTTCCAGAGGTCCGAAGTTACTCTGTTTGGATGGATTTATAACTTATGGTTTATAAACATAAGCCATAAGTTAGGAATCTTTGACTTGTGATTTTTGGCTTATTTGTTATTTTAACTTAAAAACAAGTGCACTTAAAATATATTTTGGCTTAAAAGCGCACTTAAAACGAAGACCATCCAAACAGGATCTAAGCTAGTGTTTGGCCATAGATTTAGTCGAAACTTGAAAGAAATGAGTTTTTGAAGTTTGTTGAAAAATAGTTTTTTGGAATTTTGGAATTTAAAGTTGTGTATGGACATTTTACTTGAAAAAAAATTGAAGATGCATTTTATTTTAAAAAAAAATCGAAGTTTTGTTAGCGGAAGTGAAATTTCATCCAAAAATTGCTATAGACCAGTTTTTGGAACTTGAAAAAAAATTGAAGACAAATTTCATGAACAAGCAATGTTTTCATTTATTATTTTTTTGAAACTCTACCCCCAAAATCTATGGCCAAATAGAATCTTTATACATACACGATAGTTTTGGTATTCCACCTCCCTGAATGGGGAAGGCCAAATTATAATAATGCTTACTCTTCATCATAGTGCATCAAAGTTTGTGTTGTTGTTCAACTAAAATGTATATGTACCTATCAAAAAAATTCTCAGTGTTGCTAGACTAAAATGAGTTATGCTAGACATGCATAGTATTTCATCAAATCCTGGAAGCATGCTCTGAATAGTTGTTCATTCATGTTAAGTTATTACGGTTGATTAGTAACTTATCCTCGATTCATCATGTATTTCGCAATGTATCCACAATAATCATTTGGGTGTTATTCAATATTATCTTGGACAATCATACTTACATTGTTTGCGCTGAAAGTTTTCCAATCATTTTGAGGTGGAAATAGCACTCGAAATACTCAGGGTTCACAACAATGGGAGAACTGCTACAAACAACAGAAAGGTACCAATCTTATTCTTCACTTTTGTTTCTTAAAGCTTATACCACTTATTTGCTGTCTCAATTCGACAGGCAACTCGAGGAAACAAATGCTGATGGTCTCACTGTGACTGACCTTATGCATTTGGAAAACGAACTTCAAACTGCTCTAATAAAAGTCAGATCTAGAAAGGTCTTTCTACTTCCCTCTGTACCTTCCCCCTATAGGAATTGCATCAATCGGAACTCTGGAAATCTTGGCTCCGCCACTGGCTACACCTCTTACTTTTGCTCTGTCTTCTACAAGAATTCACATTTCTTTTTTAAAATAATGTTCCGACTTCAGTATTATAATCTGGTTATCAATTAGTACCTCAGAATGAAGCAACACTAAATAGTTTTGTTTTGTGCAGACACATTTGATGCTTGAATGTGCTAAGGATCTTCATGAGAAGGTAAATTTTCATTTCCACTGCTAGTTTCTCCTGAAGTCCTGAGTTTGGTTTATCCGTCTCTGTCTTGTGAGCTCTCTACGCAGCAGGGCATTGATTCCCTGAACTTTGACTCTCAGATCTAGATGCATTGGATTTAGATTTATCTTATTCAAACCTTCATACATCAGAAAAAAATAGCTTCTTTTCATCCTATGTTTGCTCAAACTCTTCAAAGATAGTCCTTCAAAAACTATGCATTTTCAAGGATCTGACAAGAGTGCGGCAGAAATTATTGAAGGATCCGAGCAACATGTACAATTCTGTAGTTGAAACATTTCCTCTTTTCCGGGGTTATAGGACACACCATCCTTGGTTTCAACTAGTACTAGTCACTAGTGCTTGCATGCCATGTTGATACCACAAATTATGTAATCTTGATATAGTCGATTAGCTTATTGTGGAAAAGGAGGCACAAAACATCCACTTGTCCTCGTCCATTTCTTGATAGGCTGGTCTAAAGTATGTTAAGACTTAATTGACTACCGGACTTATAAACTAGTCGTCTCTTTTGTTCAAATTTCATACAAGTCGACGGAGTTAATAGGCTTACATGCTTTCTACAGCTCTATGTAGGTTTATAATCAATAGTCAGTTCTCATCAGATATCTTTAATATCATATTAATTTTTCCAATAGACTGCACATGATACCCTTTAGTTATTGCAGGGAAAACTGCTGCAAGAGGAAAAGAAACAGCTGGAGGACAATGTAAATATTACCTCACAAAATTTGCTGTGACAAATTAAACCTCTTTTCATCTTTTTCTAACTAACAATATATTGCATTATGCCAAATACAGATAGCTAGTATCAAGAAAAACACAAAAGTGAATGAGATGTCTGACCTTCCAGCACCCCACATAATTAGTGGACAACAGAGAGTTACCCTGAATTTCCTCTAGTGATTATCGTTGTATTCGTCGAAAAGCCTTGCTTGTGCACCAGAGGAACCTGCAAAATTCGTTTAATAAAACTAATTATTCATCCTTGTTCTTGTTTCCATTGGATGATGATTAAGTTATTTCTCTACTTTGAACATATACTAAAGGGTGACTTATATGCCTATTTTTCCCTCTTTAAGTTGTATAATGTATTTGAAATTCATTCTTCACAAGTACCCTGCACATTATTTCTTTGGAGATTGTTATGACTTTTTTGTGAAGAGGAATACTGCAAAAGTAAATATATGTGTCATTTAAGTTGGGTTTCTTAGCTTTCCTATATGTTCGAAGCAAAGTGTCAAGTAGGAAGCTTGCGTCTATTTATTTATTTAACTTTATGCACATGTTGAAGTGTTTATTTAACTTTATACCCATGATGATGTGTTTATTTGTGCCTGTCCAGAGGCGTGTCTAGGATTTCCGCAAGATGGGTGCACAATTACAAAAAAAATGTATCTTAAATATAAATTTGATCGGTTTGACTTTTAGATTTTTAATATGAACGATTAAATTTTAAAAATTATAGGTTTAAAACATATAATGCTACTAGTTTTAAATTTTAATATACACATTTGATTTAATTATATAAAAATTTTACAGTGCTAATTTTTTTAGGAATTTTCAATATAACACACTTGAAAATTTTGAAAGATTAAAGGAAAAAAACAAAAGAATAATTAGTTGAAACACCAAATGTGTAACCAATAACCACTTAGAGAGGTGTTAGTAAAAGACAAGAAAGATATAAGATTAAAATTTATATCTTCACTTAGATGGGTGCACCCAATCATCGTCGTATTATTATATGATACTTTGAACGTGGGTTCACACATCTATATTTAAATATTTTATAAAAAATATAACACTACTATATATAATCTAGAAAGGGGAGCATGGATTCACGTGAACCCGACACCCCCTCTAGATACACCCCTGTCAGCATATCCGAAATTGAAAAATATAAATATCAACAAAAATCAAATTAAGAGCAATGCTTAGATATTATATTTACTGCAAAGTGAAATCATAAGAGCTGTGCTTAGATATTATATTTACTGCAAAGTGAAATCAAATCCTTCGTACAACATATTTTAGTGACACGTGCCTGGTATTAAGTGTACTAATACTATTTAACTTTGTACGAAAAAGTGAAACGTGGCTATTATTAAGTGTACAAGTACCATTGAGATTACGCAGAATATAATTCAATGAAATAAAGTGTTGAATATATATAAATGGATAATATATATATTAAGTGTACTAATACTATTTAACTTTGTACGAAAAAGTGAAACGTGGCTATTATTAAGTGTACAAGTACCATTGAGATTACGCAGAATATAATTCAATGAAATAAAGTGTTGAATATATATAAATGGATAATATATATATTAAGTGTACTAATACTATTTAACTTTGTACGAAAAAGTGAAACGTGACTATTATTAAGTGTACAAGTACCATTGAGATTACGCAGAATATAATTCAATGAAATAAAGTGTTGAATATATATATATATATCAAATCTTGAACATTTCTAACGAAGTTTCTTATTTTACTATCGCAACAAACAATACAGGCGAGTCGAAAGGACAAGCAACAGATATGCTTAATAAACCAAAAGACATAGTCTTTTAGACAATCTGTGGAAGTTGTGGAGCTAGAAGCTAAAGTACGGGTTCCAGATCGTAAACTTTAACGAAAATTCTATATTTATTTTAGAACTTAATATCTTTAAATAATTAAAATATTAAATGTCTGATAAACTTCAAATCCTAACTTTACGTTCCGAAGTTGAGTCATCCATAACAACAAATTAAAATCAAACTTTAGAAAAAGAGAGAAATCAGTTAGTTGAACTTACAGATTATTCATGAAGAAATCTAATACATCCTTTCTTCTGAAATGAATTTCACCCACAGTACACTTCTTCATATGCCACTCAAACAAACTATATATAGGTAAAAATCTAGGTGGTCACATTAAATTTGATTTAATAAAATATATATTAATTAATTAAATACAACACTTGTCACATATTCACTAGTTTGATGTAATTTTTTATTAAATATATTTTATACTTGAGTGAAACTAAGATATTATTCTCTCTTCCAATTTATTTGATACTTTTGTCAATTCTATGAGTTGTCAATAATTTTAGTATTTATAAATTGTTATAAGTTATCATGTTTAATCGCATAAAAATATTTATAAATATTAATCAAAATTTATATAATATGTATCTTTATAAGTAAAATGTGTCACGTAAATTGTGAGCTAAGAATATTTTATTTCTAAATAAACAAATTAGAAAGAAAGAAGTGTTCGGCGTGCACCATTGGCCAAAAAAAAGAAGCAAAAAGAAAAGACCACGTCGACGATGATCAATCCCCTACAAAGCAGTTACGTACATCGAGGAAGCTTTTTCTTTTCTTTCTTTTTGTTTAGCGTTTGTTATTTATTTTGAAGTTTGATTAATTTAAATTTTACTAATAAAAAAATCTCATCTTCGGAACAAAATGCTCTTTATGAAATACTCTCTCTATATATAGCTCGAATTTGAATTTTTTGTTGAAAAATAAAAAATACTTATCACTCGATAATAATTTTTAATGATTCAAGTAATTTATCATTATAGTATCTAAAGTTGTTCAAAATCAAATTGAAATTGATAATTTGAATTGAAAAAAAAGTATTGGTTTACCAATAGTGAGTTATTGGTCTAATGATTTCGGTGAAAATTTTAGTTTTTTTAAATTGTTAGGTTATCGATTTTTTACGATTTAAATTTTACATATAATTAATAAAACTTGTGTTATATGTGTTTTATAATTTTTTTCTCTATAATATATATTAAAACTATATTATAAATGTATTATAAGTGTCTAGTGAAAAAATGTTATTGTTATATATGATAAATATTTTTTTAATATTATATACCTATGTAAGTTTTTCTTAATAAATCATATTTATATCACTAGGTATAAAAAGTTCACTGACTTAGAATTTATTTCCTACTTTTATTTCTAGCTGTCAGACACTCTTGATTATTCTATAATGTGTCAGTATTTGTTTTTAAGCAAGATGTAATATGTCAACTCTTGTGTATAATTTATTTAGTTTGTCACTTTATTTTTAAGTGATTTTTAATAAATTTTTATATCAAATCTTAACGATTTAATCAATAACTAAACCAATAATAATTAATAATTGATAAATTAATAGGCTAATATTTTAATAATTCTATAATTATTTTCTTGAATACAAATATTCTCAATAATTCAAATCGATAAACTTTAAAATCGAACCAAATTAATCTCGCAATCTTAAATTAGTATCAGCTACCAAACGACTACGACAACGAATTAATTGGACCGACTTACGGCTGCTCTGGAAATTGTCGATGTGGGTTTGTCAATCTGATATAGCAGTTTTTGAGTAAATATCTTAAAAGGTCATTCAACTTTGAGAAATTATGTTGTAAAGTCATTCAACTTTGTTTTATATCAATAAAATCACTCAACTTTGAATATTTCTTTTACAAAATCACTCAATCAAAATTACCATAAAAATAATTTTACAAGATAAAATCATTATTTTTTAAAGTATATATATTTGTGAAAAACTTCTTGAAATATTTATAAGTCATGAAATTAAAAACAATTGACATGAATTTTGAACTTTTTAGTAAATTTGTGGAGCGTGTCGAATCTCTTTTTGATGTGTTTTGATTGCAGATTGTTATTAGAGGCAGATGAATCATTTAATTAATTAAACTAATATATTAATCAAATGTCATTGCTAATCATCTATCAAACCCATTCGAGGGAACTTATGAAAACTGACAATGTTGAGCTATCGACTTTCATCTCTTCCCATTTTATATTGTTCGTATTATATTAAAAATAATTTCACCAATAATTTTTCTAAAAATTCATATCTTACACTTGATTTTATTGATCCATGATCGTAATTTTTTAAAATGGAGAGTAATTTATTTATTTTTGTAATTATTGCAGAAAAGAAGAAAAACATATAAAAGATTGAGATTTGTGGGAGAGCAATTAATTTATTTTATCATGTTAAAAAGTTTTTATGGTAAATTTGATAAAGTGATTTTATAAAAGAAATATTCAAAGTTGAGTGATTTTATTGATACAAAACAAAGTTGAATGACTTTACAACATAATTCTTCAAAGTTGAGTGACCTTTTAAGATATTTACTCAGCAGTTTTCTATATTAAAAAAAAATAAAAAGCAACAATTTAATAAATTTTAAAATTAATGTTTATCGTGAAATATGCGAACTATAAGTATGAAACATAATTAACTTTATTATATTGGCTATTTGTGAAAATCTTCCTATTTATTATTCTGATTTCTGCCCTTCATCTAGTCAAATATTAGCATCGTATGTGTGGACAATTTACAACAGTATTAAGGAGAGCTTATATAAATTCCACTAGTTTAGGAGCTAATTATTTAGATACACTTTAGTTTACAATAATATTATATATCTTACTAGATTTTGGTGTCTAGATATGTTCAGATACATTCAGATATATATATATCTCGAATACGTGAGGTTAAAATTAGATGTAATTTATTTTAGATATATTTTATTCAAGTGAATTCACATGTATCTGAAATACATAATAAATCTCACTCGCTTCTCTTCCTATTTTCAGTGTATCTGGTAGCAAAAGTACTTATATATTCTTATAATATATGATAGAAAACTCTTAATTAATGATAAAATACATAATATTTGAAAGTATATATATAGAGAGAGGTCAAGATTGTTCACATCATATTCAAAAGATCAATATCGCAGTAATCGTCTTCTAAAGGCCCGATATGCGGGACTCTTACCCCATCCCTTCTCCCCACGCCTAGGACTAGTATATGTGAGACTAATATCGAAAAATAAAATTGAGCTGGATTTTGCTTTTTATATCATGCATGTTATGAATTTTGAACCTAACTCAATTCTAAAAATTAGATAAATAAAAATTATCCAAATCATATTAAAAAGATCATTAATCCCTAACGTCAAGTGATAAATATGGATACAATACTTCTCTTAGATTACGTATATGTCAAGGTATAATAATGATTCTGAATTGTCAATTATAATAACAACGTCTTAGCCTTCAATACTAAATACTAATTTAAATTTTTGGCTATAAATTGTGTCAAATTGCTCAAGTGGTAACTAACACAATTAAAGCCAAGTGGCTTGACCAAGATTATACACACTATGCAT